GAGGTCAGGGCCTTACAGGAAAAGGAGGAAGTCAGGGCCTTACAGCTGGAGGAGGAGGTCAGGGCCTTACAGGGGAGAAGGAGGTCAGGGCCTTAAGGGGGGAAGAGGTCGGGGCCTTACGGGGGAGGAGGTCAGGGCCTTACAGGGGGAGGAGGTCAGGGATGCAGAAAAGGTGAGTGAAGGGAGCTAGAGGTGGGGGTTGAAGGTAGAGGCTATGGTGGGATCCTCTTCTTTGTTTGTTGCCAGCCTCACCTCCACTCCCAGATGTTCCAGACCACCTGCATTTTGTGGACCAGTATGGGGAGCAGCTGGTGGCCTGGGTGACATTGGTGGACCACGTCCTGGAGAAGCTGCTGGACACATGCTGAGCAAGGAGCAGTATGAGAGGGTGGAGGCTGAGGCCACCAAGCCGGGCCAGATGCGGAAGCTGTTCATCTTCAGCCAGTCCTGGGACTGGGCCTGCAAAGATCACCTCTACCAAGCCTTGAAGGAGATCCATCCTTACCTAATCGTAGAACCGCAGGAGAAGCAGAGTGGTGGAGGGGACCAAGGGGCCTCCTGACAACCTTGGCACCTGAAGTCTGAACACCTGGCTCTGCCTCACCCTCTCTGGGTCTCACTTTCTGCATCTATAAACAAGTTGCCTTCAAGGTGCCTTCCAGCTCTTCAGTTATGGAACTTTGATGATACCTTTGCTAGGCACTATGTGCCCACCCCACAGTGTCACACAGGCACCTGGTCTCCCTTCGGTGACTTTTCACAGGCTAACCGTCCAAGTAGGGTACCAGCATCTCAGGCAAAGTCCATCTGGAGCCGGCAAGAGTTCTGCAGGCCTTGTAGATGCCTAACCCAAGAGTCTGCTCTGGTGGCCACAGCAGCCAAGCCTAGAGCCCTCCCTGTCCCATCCAGATGCAAGGAGGAGTACTGGGCACATGGGACTGCCAACCAGTCTGGAGACAGACAGTGGTAGCGGACTCTTTGAAGATTTTCAGTGGTTGGTGAATATGTGCAAAAAAAAAAAAAAAAAATATTTCTTTTTCAGTTGCTTGTGTGGTTGGGCTTAGCTTTTCTGTTGGCTCAGATATGTGCTCTGTTGTTTATGAAGTCTAGATGGATTGATAGAGCCAGGAGAGGGGTGAAGAAGGAGGCAGTGAGGGGATTGGAGCCTAGGTCTTAGCTGAGATGTCTCCTCCTGTGGGAAGCCATTCCGTGGCCTTGCACCTGGCTGAGGTCTCACTGCCCTGTGCTCCTGCTGCAGCCTGTGTGCCCCGTCAGGCACTCAGCACACTGCATTGTCTCTGCTGCCTCATGGCCTCTCTCTCCCCACTCTTTGGTAAGCTCCCTGAGGACAGGAACCATGTCTAACCTGCTCATCTATTTTTTCTCAGTGCCTAGTACAGTGCCTCCAGCACCCATCTGTCAATTTGTCGTACTGTGGTGGCTTGTGTGTTGCTATGACGCTGGAAGCTACGCCCCCAGTATTTCACATACCAGCAGGGTCACCCATGGTGGACAGGTTTCAGTGGAGCTTCCAGACTAAGGCAGACTAGGAAAAAAGGCCTGGCAACCTATTTCCACAAATCAGCCAGTGAAAACCCTATGGATCACAACAGAATGTTATCCAATATAATGCTGGAAGGTGAGCCCCCTAGGTTGGAAGGCACTACACAATAGCTGCAACAATGCACTCAGACATGCCGATGATCATAAAGATGGCGGAAGACTGGGCAATGTTTCGTTCTGTTATATGTAACGTTGCCGTGAGTCAGAGCCAACTCAGCACAACTAGCAACAACAGTACAGTACCTGGCACCTGGTGAGTAAGAAGTGAAGATTTACTAAGGTCGAGGAACTTCCCCAGATACCTCCTTTAATTCCCTTCCTGGCCACCATCCCGTCCACGTTATATTGAAGCCCACCCTAGCAACAATCCCCAAATTAATGGGCTACTCTTATGACCCTAGTGAATCAGTAATCTTAGAATTGGACTCACTGGTGTTAGTATCCCTGCCCAAGACACAGAAGCACAACTTGGTTGTATCTCCCTCTCCACTTGGTCTCTCCTCCCTCGGAGTCACTTCTCCCCGCCATCCACTTGGCCCCCTACCCCTGCCCTTCCCCTCCTCTGTGCAGCCTTGCGGGTCTCTTCTCTGGTCTCCTTGACTCTGAGTGTTGTTCTGAGGGTTAAATGAGATAATACATGCATATGCTCAGATCAGTGTCCAGCACACAATAAGAAGTGGCAGAGAAGTGAAAAGTGGAGATTTGACTGATTTTTATCCAAACAGCCCTCCTAACCACCACCCAAGCCTCTGTGAGCTAAATGGCTTACCACCAGAGATTCCTGGAATTCGTGAATGCCCACTACAGGGCCAAGAACATAAATTTGGGACTAGGTCATTATTTCTTACCATCAGACAGACAGCTGGCAAAAACTATAGGCTTCTATTCCTTCTGTGAACCTGAAATCTTTTTTTTTTTTTTTTTTTTTTTTAATTTCCTACGGCACTCATTGAATTCCAAGACATTCTAATATTCTTTAACTGGTGTAGCCCGTTGGTAAAAGCAGAGCTATTTTCAGGATCTCTGTTCTGGCCCAGTTGTGATAATCTGCACTAACATATTTTACGGAAGTCTGACAAAAATGACATCAGTTTGCATACTAGGCCAATGTCTCCCATGGAAATTACTTGGGGTGGACCCAGGTTCTTCTGCCCCAGGGTTAACCACTGCACATGGTAATGACAGGGGGATTACCAGCCCCCTTTAGAGGGAACTTCCACCCCGCCCCTTTCACCTCTGCTTGCGGGATCCAAATGCGTGTTTGGGAACTGCCTTCCACTAGGGCAATAACTGTTTGCTATTTTACATAATGAAGGTGGATTTTGTTAGGTCAGGACATCTTTAAAATAGTGTGTATGAAGGGAAGCCCGGCTGTGTGGGTGTGGTGTTTAATGTTTGTGTGTTGTGATATTACAAGGTGTATGTCTGTGTGTGATGGGCACCCAGGGAGTGGAATGTAATGGACACCTACTAAGCTGCCTGCCTAGCATCCCCGTTTTTAGAATAGCCTCCCTGTATATCCACATACTAAACTACAGCACGAATAGCCATGTTTGTACAAGTGACGCTTTCCCCCAGCCCCAGCAGACTGGCCTCCGAGCAAATGCTAGCAAGGGCCATTTTCTATGAAAAACAGAAAGTCAGGCTGCAATAGGAAAGAAACTGAAGCAGATGGACAGAGAGAAGCAGGGATGAAGGACGGAGACTGTGGTATCCCTGGCCTGCCTAGTCTCCCAGTTTCTGCTTCCAGTGCGTTGCTAAAGCCAAGCTGCATCTGTGCCCTTGGGTTCCATGAGACATCCCACTTCCTTATAATTTCCCCCTTGTGCTTAAGCTGGCTCCAATGTCTTTTCTGTTATTTGCAACCAAGAATCCTAAAAAAAAACATACTACCTTCAATCCCTTTTGGAATAAGGCAGGAACTAAATGGACAATTATACCTTTAAGGTTTTCCTTTGTCTTTCCAGGGTCCCTTGACTATCTACCCCCTGATGCTGTTGTTCTTAGGTGCCGTCGAGTCGATTCCAACTCATAGCGACCCTATGTACAACAGAAAGAAACACTGCCTAGTCCTGTGCCATCCTCACAACTGTTATGCTTAAGCCCATCATTGCAGCCGCTGTGTCAATCCATCTCATTGAGGGTCCTCCTCTTTTTCGCTAACTCTGTACTTGACTAAGCATGATGTCCTTCTCCAGGGACTGCTCCCTCCTGATAACATGTCCAAATTACATGAGACGTAGTCTCACTATCCTTGCAGAAGGACCATTCTGGTCATACTTCTTCCAAGACAGATTTGTTCGCTCTTTTGGCAGTCCATGGTATATTCAATATTCTTCTCCAACACCACAATTCAAAGGCATCAATTCTTCAGTCTTCCTTATTCATCGTCCAGCTTTCACATGCATATGAGGTGATTGAAAACACCATGGCTTAGGTCAGGCACACCTTAGTCTTCAAAGTGACATCTTTGCTTTTCAACACTTTAATGAGGTCTTTTGCAGCAGATTTGCCCAAAGCAATGTATCTTTTGATTTATTGACTGCTGCTTCCACGATTATTGATTAGGGATTCAAGTAGAATGAAATCCTTGACAACATCAATCTTTTCTCCATTTATCATAATGTTGCTCATTGGTCCAGTTGTGAGGATTTTTGTTTTCTTTATGTTGAGGTGTAATCCATACTGAAGGCTGTGGTCTCTTCGATCTTCGTCAGTAAGTGCTTCAAGTCCTCTTCACTTTCAGCAAGTTTGTGTTATCTGCATATTGCAGGTTATTAATGAGTATTCCCCTAAACCTGATGTTACGTTCTTCTTCATATAATCCAGCTTCTTGGATTATTTGCTCAGCATACAGACTGAATAGGTATGGTGAAAGGATACAACCCTGACGCACACCTTTCCTGACACCATATCCTGACCCCCTGATATGGGATATAAAATCAAGAGGCATCTGACCTAAAGTAAAATGGCTCAGTATAACCTTTCACACAGATTCAAACCTGTTGCTTAGGAAACAACCCTGTTATTTAAGGAAATGTTTTTCTTTCTGGCTGGGCTAAGAATGTCCTGGGGTCTATAACCAAACCTTATCAAAATTCTTTGTGTTAGATCTCCCCAGGTGTCCTTATGGCCTGAATGAGGTAAAGTTTAACAACCTGTTCTGACAGTATCCGTCATGCCATCGTTTTGTGACAGTCATGAGGCCTCCTCCACAACCACATACTTGCAATTATGCCCTTTAGCCAATCAATGTATTCCAGCTGTATTAATGTAACCAATAACGTTAAAAATTATGCTTTGCTTTGTCCCGCCTTTGATTGACCTCAGTCGCTGTAAACCAATCAGAATATTGTGTTTTGTAGTTCCTCCTATGGCACTGTAACTATGTGTGACTTGCACCCCCTCCCTTGGATCTGTGAGCTCCAGACTCTGCGGTTTTCATGATCCCCATTCAAATGATATATTGGCTTCAATAAATCTCTTTGATTTTACTTTAATAGAGTTTGAGAGTCTGTTCACAATACCCCCTTTCCACTAAAGTAATACATCCAGCTCCTTATTATTACATCAGTATTTGGTTCTATGAACCCCTAGTTATCTGAGTCCAAAAACCAAAGCGGTTGCCATTGAGTTGATTCCAACTCATGGCGACCCCCTTGTGTCAAAGTAGAATTGTGCTCCATAGGGTTTTCAACGGCTGATTTTTCAGAAGTAGGTTGCTAAGCCTTTCTTCCAAGACACCTCTGGATGAACTCAAACCTCTGAACTTTCAGTTAGCAGCTGGGCACATTAACTGTTTACACCACCAAGAGAATCTCTATCTGGGGCTCAAACGTGGTTCAAATAGGGTACCATCAGAACATGAGCCCCCCCACCGACATACACACACACTCTATTGCTAGGTAACAGTGGAAATTTATATATCATGAAAGTGCAGTCTTCAAACTGGGGAAGAGCAGAGCAGAATGCTAGGTGCACAGGGGGCCTAAGATTGAA